GTCCATGGCAGGTAAGTTTGACAGATATGAACTCTGGGAGAAGTATAAAGTCATACAAGACCCTCATACTTCTTTCAGAATTCATATCTACGCAAACAAAGTTCAAATTGTAAAAAGTCAATAAAAATAAAGAGTTCATTTACTCTGCTTGTTTGAAGTTGTCAAAATACTCTGTTATTTTTTCTTTCAGTAGCGGTAAGTCTTCTCTCGGTTTTCCGAGGGAAGCAATCTTATGCCATTTTTTGACGAAGTGAACGTTTGCACTTCGTCAAAAAAATCCCTGAAATCATATCTTACATACAAAAAAATGAAGAATAAATAAAATAAAACTAACTTTATTTTTTATTTCGGGAAAATTCATGAAAATTCACGAGGGTGAGAAAACAGGTGAGAAAACAGGTGAGATCTCACCTCTTCACCTAAATTATATTTTTACTGAATTCAGCAACAAAATTCAAATTGTAAAAAGTCAAGCTTGAAAAATCTAAGTGTTTAGTCTTAGTAAGATGGTAGCTTCTTAAAGCAAATACCATTGCTGAGTTTTAGGTACGTGAAGAGAAGTACAATGAATTCAATTACGAGTACAATTGCAATGACAACTAAGGCAACTATTTTTGTCTTTTGCCAGCAAGGGTACTTCTTCTCTTCCAATGGTTCGGCAGAACTATACTCACTCATGAGAAATGCCAAAACGGTTTAATAGAAAAAGTGTCATTTTTTTCATGTCCGAAGACTCGAAGGTGCAACACTTCCAAAATACCGACGAACTCAGAAGGGCAGCATGGCAGTATGTTCTTGACAACTTCTTTGAGTTCTCCAGGAACACCTTGGAAAATGCTGAAGAACTCCGACACAGAGAATTTGGAGAAATTGCACTCCAATACTACCTTGACAAACAAAGGGTAAACAAAGGGTAAAATAAGACTAAAAACTTAACGTTTAAAAAGTGACATTTTTATGAGCTCCGAGTCACCGAGAAAACTTGGTCAGATGTTAGCAGCTTACTTCCCTGAGTACGAAAGGTTCCTACAAGAGAAACCAGCTCTAAACAACTCAGAAAAGAAAGAATAAAAAGTTTAACTCGTAATTGTTTATTTTTTTACTTGTATGGGCAAGCTGCAAGAATGAAGTCGACTATCTCAGTCTTTGTCTTGACCAGTTGGACGGCTCTTGCGAGTACGTCTGTTTTGCGGTCTCCAGCTGGTGTCTGACCTTCGTAATTGCGCATGTTCTTGAGAGCTCCAACTGTAAATGATTGTAGGATGAAGAGTCTCTCAGACTGCTTGAGGTAGTCTTCACGGTCACGAACCGAATCTGTGGTACGAGTCGAATTGGTCGACCTTAGGGAAGAGACTGAAAGCCTGTCGTCTTCCATTGGAGCTGTAGCATACTCTTTGCGTAAGCGGTTCAGGCCTTCTTCGAAGTCTTGGTCTCTCTTCGATTGAGATTGGAATTGGAATTGCTGGGGTGGAGCTTGCTGGAACAACCAAGGGTTGGGGAAGTAAGGCATAGGCTGAGGAGGGTAGTTCGGGAAGCCTTGTGGTGGGTAGTAACCTTGAGGTGGAAATTGGTAGTAATTCGGAGGTACTTGCTGGAACTGAGGTTGCTGAGGAGACTGTTGTGGTTTTGCAGCTTTCGGTTCTTCTGGTTTGGGAATGGACTCGGTTGGTGGGACGTCAGTCATCCGTTTGTGTCCTGTCGGAAGGAAAAATTTTTCCTGTCGGAAGGAAGAACTTTTCCTGTCGGAAGGAAGAACTTTTTCTGTTGGAAGGAAAAACTTTTTCTGAAGTTCGACCAAAAAGTTCTCAATTTTCGAAAATTTGAATGGTTTACGGACGGACAACTGGAAGAGTTCTTCCTGTCGGAAGGAAAAATTTTTCCCTTTGTCCGGAAAATTTTTTCCAGTTGTCGGGAAAATATTTTCCTGTCGGATGGAAGGACTCGGAATGCCAGAAGGATTTGACGAGGCAATTTACCTAATTGAAATTAACGACCGCGTAAAAGACTACTTGCGCAGGGTAATGAAGCCCAAGGTCAAGTTCACCACTATTTCTGGAAAGTCTACACTTCAGCTCGAGACTTCGACTGGAATTCCAATTCAAATACCAGACGGACAGCCTACGATGGCATAAAGACGCCAAAAGAGAAGCTCTTGTTAAGTTCCTAAACAAACGTCCTTGGATAAAAATACCAAACAAGGAGAACCCCCACCCATATGAAATTGCAATTCAGTCTCTCCTTCACTTCTCGGGTCAGCCGTTCTACATAACCTGTGAAGGCGACATCCAACCAGTTCAGTAAACCTTAACGTTTAGAGTAAAAATATGTTTTTTTCATTTTTTGAATGAAGCAAGTTAAATTCGTCCCATACCAATCTCAATGGACCGATGAAGAGTTTCAAGCCATAGTTGAAGACGTTGAGAACGACATAGACGGCGAACTTGAAGGAGCTCAAATCACAATTGCAACCAAAATTGCAGAAGTCACGGAACAGATAGCTCCACTTAAAGCTACCAAAGCTACTCTTGACCTCATGGATAGTTACCGTTTAGATGTCAAGAGTGGAATAAGACATTTAAAATTAAAACTTCTAAACTACGAAGCTATACTCCAAAAGTTAGCAGAAATGAGAAGACTTTACCAGAGCTACTTACATGTAAGGGACTTACCTTCAAGCAGTCCGACCAAAGATGAATTTGTTGACATTGTCCCAATTTTGTCCGAAAGTCAGCTCAGATGTTTCGAACTGCTCCCAACATATCCGGAATATGAACGTTTGCCTGAACTCTTCCACAATCTCAAAAAACGTTTTTTGGTTCTCATGTTCCAAACTTTTATCGGAAGAGACAACAAACGTTCAGAAGAAGAACAAGATATTATTTTAAACTTGTTGTATGACATAACTGTCATAACAAGCTTTTTGAAGTAAAACCGTCATTCTCAAACCACTTCATTTTTTCGATGTCCGAACAAGCACCGAAGCCAAACTCAATGGCAGATGTCCTTTCAAGGTTGACAGACAAGCGCCCAGTTCAAATTCAAATTGCCCAATTGAACGCTCATCTGTCAAACACCATTCAGACTCTCCAAAGTAGTCTTATGGAAGAGATAACCAATCTCAAAGTCGAAGTCCTCACGAACCAAGCTTCCAATAAGAAAGTCCTGAACGATTTCGCGGAAACCTTGCGCCAATACAACATAGAGAACCAAAACCTTGCCCGACTCATCTACCGTTTCTTCGAAGAGATTGACACCATCTGGGCGGCACTCGGAAAGGACAGAACCTCCAACACCGTAATTCGTGAACACAGAATTGCCGAAGGTATTATCAAAGAAGAGGAAGAAGAGGAAGAAGAGGAAGAAGAAGAAGTTCCTGAAGCCGCTACATGGGCAACCCTTGTTGCCGATGACGGTTACGAAATTTCACAACCCTACCCATACCAAATCCGCAACAAGGAGACAGGCAAGGTTCTTACCCCAGTCCTCAACAACTTGGGACACTTGAACCTTAACCTTCGGAATCGCGGTTCAATTTCCATGGGCAAGCTTGTCGCAATTCAATGGGTTCCAAATCCAGGCAAGAAGACGAAGGTCAGACACATTGACGGTGACAAGCTCAACAACCGTAAGGAGAACCTCGAGTGGTTCTAAGAGTAAAAAAATTTTATTTTAGGGGGAAACCCCAAGTAAATTTAGGCGTTTATTTGGATAAGTATGTTAAATTAATGGTAATTTGCAAAATTAGTTCCCGACCTTTGAATTGGACTCTTTCGTTATCCCAGTTGCGTAGGAGGTCGTCCCAGAGGAGTTGGTAGAATTGCCAATCCAAGGACGATTTGTCCTCCCAGGCATTGAGGATGTACTGCTCGTAGAGTTTCATGACCTCTGCCTTGCACCAGACACCCTCTCCCTTGGAACGTAAGGCTTCTTCGAAGTGCTCGAATGCGATTGGCTGCTTGACCATCCGAAATGACACTTTTTGTCCGTTTGGTCAATGTTCGTGTCTCGTGCCATAGTCGACGAAAATACAGACAAACAGGTTATATATGAGTTTGAGACCAAGAATGGTGTAACTCGACCTGTCCGATTCAAAGACTCCGAGGGCGACCATGAAATTAAACGGAAATTAGCTAGGAAGGAATATAAAAATTTTTTATTTCATGCAATGTTTTATTTCTGTGCCGTCTTCAAGTATGCCCCAGTACTTACGCTTGGAGAGGACATGAACTTCGGTGAAAATTTTGTCCAATTTGAATCGACCCATCTTTTCACCGACTAAACCCATTTCAATGAGTTTGTTGTATCCTTCTTCGTTCGTCATGAGTGCGTCAATGTTCTCATAGTAAACCTTGACTTTCGATTTGACTTCCGAGAAGAATTTGTTGTAGTTGTCAAGGACTGCCTTTGCGAACTGAGGGTAAGACCAATGTTCGACAATAGGTTTTAATGTGGTTACTAAGCCACTTTGACCTTGAGTGAATTCGTACTTCAAAACAAAAGGAGAAAACCTTTCAACAAAGTTGTCGACCTTCTCATAATGTTTACTCTTCATCTCTTGAGGTTTCTTAATGGAATATCCCCATGTCGAATTCATAAGCAATTTGAGTGTCATTGCAAGTTTGGGGTTTGAAGCTTTCCTAATATCATACAGTTGTTGTATGACTTTTCCAACTGTATAGTTCCTTCCCGGGAACTCACCATCTTCGTTTGGAATTCCAGTCGGAATATATTGGACAAACCTCATGTATGCAGCGTTAAGGTCGACATAGTATATCTTTTCATCTGAGTCGAACTTGTCGCAACCAATTGGTCCAGTTTGTGGAAATTCAAGTGAGTCTCTTATCTTCTGAGAAACTTCTCCTGTTATCTCATAAACGTCGTCGAAGCAACCTGTTTCATATAAAACCTTCTGACCTAACTCAGATGCTCTCCAATACAATTTGACGTCAATTGGATGTCTCAATGGAAGTTTATTTATAGCATCTTGAAGTTCTTGCAACCTCATTGGAAGTTCTTCTGGTTCAGGTTGGTATCCGAACATACCAACCCCTTGTGGAATTGTGTACTTCTTTTGTACTAGAACTTTGTCTGGAACAACTTTTGGTCTTGCTAACAATGAAAAGTTTGTTTCGTCTTTTGGTACAAAAGTTTCTGTCAGCTTGTCATCTGGAATTGGTTCCAACAAACCTTTCTCGAAAAGAATGTTTACAGCTCTGACAATGTTGCACTTGCCTTTTCCGAACAATGGGTTTGTAAGACTTTCGTTCAACATGAAGTGGTTGTGGACAATTACAATCTTCAACCATGGTAAATTGAACTCAACAACATAGTCGTCATGTGAAGAACCTTTAGCTGTAGGTATGTTGACTCGGATATTGACATTTGCCAACGGTGCAATTTTTGCCAATTGACCTCTGAGAATGTACCTTGTCTTCACACATGACTCAAGATACTTCATCTTCTCATCTGTAACAAGACCAGAGTTCCTGAGACATGTAAGAATGCAAGGTTCGTTGACAATTGTTTCAATTGAATTGTAAATTCCATACCTTGTCAAGTCAATGTCAGACTTATTTATGAACGGGAAGTATCCAGCATGTTGTCTGACTACTTGAGGGTTAGGTTGGTACCATTCGAACTTGACACTTGCAATTCCTTCAATTGCATTCAAAATGTCTGAGTCGGAGTCAACCATTTGTTCTCTCTTTGTAGTCTTGAAAGCGTCAAGAAGTTTTGCGGCTGTTTGTTCATTGCCATGTGCATAGTAAATGTGACCATCCAAATCTGTTATGGTCAATCTGAGATTGTGTCCTTTCTTATTTCCGTCTTGAATTGCAGCAAGTACTCCCATGAAGCCTTCTTTGTTCTTTCCTTCGTCAAAGTTTACTGTAAAGGTTCGACCAGATGTAATTTGACTTCTAACTTCACGATACTTTTCATATGCATATCTTGTTCTTTCCATGGGAGCATGTGCGTCTTCACCTTTTCCTTTTTTCCTTCTCAAGGATGCAATTGTTCGTCATGTTTCCAGTAGAATCTGGCAAAGCCGTCGTGTCCTTCAACTTGAGGTTCACTAACATCGAAAGGCATGTCCATAAGACGTTCTTCTTCTAACCTCTCTAGTCTGTTTGGATAATTGGCACGTGCTGTTTCCAAATCCATTTCGTAGCGAAGACCAGACAATTTGTCATAGACTTTTATGGGTCTTCCCTTCCTATATTTAAAATTCTTCGAAACTCTCCAACCATATCTTTGTAACTCTGCTTTTATTCTAGCAGACTTTCTATCCATTCTATATGGGGGCATTTTTATAAAAATAAAAAAAATATATTTTTTTCTTTACTTAACATAACCGCCTGCTGCCATAAGTCTTTGACGCCAACCCATACCAGCTAATGAAGGTTGACTTGGTTTAGTTTGGAAACTAAACTTTGGTTTTGGTTTATCTTCAGTTTTTGGTTTTTCTTCTTCTATCGGTTTTTCGTCACTTTTCGGTTCCTCTGACTTTACCCCACCTGCAGGAACAGTTGTGTCGTCAACATCTTCATAAATATCATATGCCATTTGTTTTTGTTTTCCTTTCAACTTTTTGTGTTTGTTGTAAAGTTTAGAATATTTCGACTCTAAGTCAATTGAGATGTTCTATAATGAACTGTTGGTCAGTGAAGTAAACTTTTCCATCTGTTGTCTCGAAAGCTCCTTCAGACTTCAATATTTTTATTTGTGAGAGTCTGTTTTTTTTTGAGATACTAGCCGTTCCATTTTTGAAAAGTGACTTTATAGTTAGGGTTTGTATTTCCAGACCTGGCACTTTCTATTATTGAATTTTTCTCTTCATCTGTAAGTTTTTTGACAGGTTTTGACAATGGTTCTGAACTTTTTGTTTGTGGTGTCAAATCTACCGTTTCAACTTCTTCGTCATTTCATCTCAGTAAAAATTTTAGTTTGGTTTGTTTTCAACTGGTTGTTTAGGTTTTTTAAGTCGGTCTAAAACTTCCTGAGGTATAGGAAGAACTTGACAAACACGTGGTGTAACTGCTGGAAGCCGACAAATCCATCTTGAACCCATTTGTCTCAATGCTGTATTGTTCATTTCATCTCAGTAAAAAACTTTACATTCCCCACGTTTGAGGCGGTTGAGGTTGGTTATTGTTTACCCATTGTTGTGCATGGTTATATCCTCTGTTAAAGAATCTTTCACCTTGGTCCATATAGTGTCCTGCTTGGTTATAGTAGTCATTTGCTTTGTTATAAATAGTTTCCTGCTTGTCTTCCTACATTGTCCATCCATCCTTGAACTTTTCCTCTTGTTTCAGGATTTGGAATAAGATTTGTTGCATCTCGTGCTCATCCCAACCTTTCTGTACAGTTTGTATAATAGGTTGTGCTTTCTCTTTAAGTATACCTAATGTACTCAAAATCTTCCTTCCAACCAAATACACCTCTAGCTATTGTTCCCACTGCGCGGCAAAAATCTAGATGCGACTCCTGCTAATGCGCCAAATAACCATTTCTTATAGGATAAAAAATGACGAATCCAAACAAGGACCCCTATGTTTCTAAAGCGACAAAGAAAGCACTCATGATAAAAATCTTTAGTTCAACACCAAATGCTTGGTTTATGGATATCTTGGAAAACATTCCGAGGTATAGAGAAGATGGACCACCATACTGGTTAATATTTGTTGGTCAAAACACAAGATACTGTGAAGCCATACCATTATGGTCCAAAAATATTTTAGATGTGAAAACTGCTTTGACAATATTCGTTGACAAATACCATCCAACAAAACTGACATCTGACTGTGAAAGTTCTTTCAAATCAGATGATATTAAAAACTATCTGCGTTCAAAAATGTAAACCAATATTTCATTGTCGACCAAACCATTCTGCTCTTGGTGTCATTGACGGTTGTATAAAAATGTTAAGAGACTTAAACCAACCACAAGGTGGTGAAGCAAATGAAATGTCATATGACGACAAGTATAGACATTTCCCATGGCAAAGATGAGACAAGTTTTAAATATTTACAATAACCGTAAACAAAAAGGTTTGGGAAACCACTCCCAAGAAATGAAAAACAACCCTGACTTAGAGAAAGACTATATATTTAATAATTTAGTCAAAAGAGACAAACAAGAAAGAATGCTGGGCTTCAAAACTTCAGAAAGGTGACAAAGTAAAAATAGAAATACCTAAACGCGACCCATATGAAAATACTATTGACTATGACAACAATGGGAACCCGACAGGTACTCACATTCGTGTTCGTAAAATAGGAGAAAATATACAAGAGAATATTATGAAGTTTTAGGCAAACATGGCAAAATGTACACACTGCAAGCAGAAGATAAAACTACTATTGCCAGACCTGTTTCAAACTTGTCAAAGTTCAAGGTGTATACTTTCAAAGACAGTTCCTAACAAATATAAGACAACTCTGACGAATATGCTAAAGAATTGAAAATGACGACTAAGCATTTCTATACCATGCGTAAACTGTCATGTAAGGTGGCATGTATTCTTTACTTTGTCCCGTTGTTTGCGTATATCCTGTAACGCGATGTGTATGGTTTCCTCTCCCTCAGTGTTACTCCAGTAACATTTATAGCAAACTTAACGTCCTCTTTAACATCATATCCTTTACCTTTTTGTCTTATTCTGTCCAATCCCAATATCTATGCTTATGCCAACCTGCTTCAGATGTACTTAAATCTATGTAGTGACTATGTGCAGGTAGATTTTCACCTGAAATCGTTTACTTCCACCTGTTTCCTTTGAAGAGTTTGCACAATACAAAAACCTGTCGACTATTTGAGTCCAAGTTCCAAAACCAAGTACTACTTCTGGTCTGGTAGAGTTCATTGAAACATATAATGAGCCAACCGGGTAAATAAGATTCGGCAAATTTTGTTTAAGCACATTGAGTTCCTGTCTTAGATGCATAATGTCATATAACTTTTCTTGAAGTTCATTTACGTCAGAAATGTTATGTGTATGATATTTTTGTGGGTATGTTCCTTCTGTCCATGCGAAAATATATTCTTTTGTTGCATCTACATATCCAGCTATCCATTTCGAGTCTGCTTTTGTATTCCTTAACTCTGTAACACCTTTCTCAAGCTCTTTCAACTGTTGTCCATCTTCCATTAAACCTCTGGTATGACTTGAAACCGTTTGTGCCAACATATCTACAGTTTCTTTGTCAGCTTTGTCATCTAACTTTTCTTGAAGTTCATTTACGTCAGAGATGTTATGTGTATGAGTCTTATTTGCTTTCTTCTCTAACTCATCGTTAACATAAGTTTTATCTGCTTTAAGGTCTAAACATCCTGAAACCCATCCTGTATCAGCTTTAGTTTTAAAAATCTTCGATGTCCATTCATGATACCATTCAACCCTTTCTATAATTTCATTATCTTTTTCATCCACATATTCCTTATCCGCCTTCTTCACTAACACACTAGCCATAAGTCCCTTATCTACCTTCTCTTCAAGGCTAACGTTTAAGTTTGTAATATCAGATATAGAATGTATATGAGTCTTTTTAGAATATTCGTTTTCAGCTCTTGTCACTTCACTTGACATTTTATTGTCAACATATGTTTTGTCTGCTAGTTGAGGATGAGTATGTTCTTTTGTTGCATAAGCATTGTTAGCTCTTTCTTCTTCTTTTGCTATTGCATCGTCTACATATTCTTTGTCAGCTTTGTTGTCAACATCTGCTTTCAAAAGAAGTTCATTTATAGGTTTCTCGTTTAAAGTTCCTTTTGTTGGATTTATACAGACAGTATGGTTCTTATTGTCTTGAAACAGAAACTCATCTGTCATTGGGTTTAATGTCAGTTTTAAGTTTCCTTCTTTCAATGACTCAGATATCTTAGAATAGTTTGAAAAGTTTGTTGTGTTCTTATTTAGAGCTTGCATAATGAGTTGTCGGTTGTGTTGTATTTCTCTTATGGAAGCAATATCTTTCGACATTTTTATTCTAGATAAAATATGCTTCCAATAGAAAAAGAAAATTCAAGAGTTGCTACAACTAAACCATTAGATGAACTTTTTACTAATGTCGGTCAAAAGTTTGAGACAGAGACCGTAAAGCATGAAGGCTATCGTTTTGACTACCCATTAAGATGGCTAAGAGACCCATCTGTCACAAAAGCTATTGGCTTTCGTAGAATGAAGTTCATTTCAGAAGCCATACATGGTTTCCCATTTACGGTCGGTTTTGAAGTTCGATACTATAACAAAGAAAAACATACGTATGAGAAATTTGAACAGGGAAAACTTTTACAAGTTAGTTTGCTTGTAAATTTAGAAACAACTCTTCAAGCTTTTCAAGAAAAAATAAACGATATCTATATCGAATATGCAAACCAGTATAACATTGACGAAGGAGAATACCATCTCGATATTATTTATGACAGGAAAAATGCAACTGTTAAAATCAATAAAATAGAAGACCTTGGAGAAAACGTTTATATTTCTACAAAATATAACAACTTGGCATGGTATAGATTTATGAGGATGTTAAATCAGCCTGCAGCATATCCAGTACACCCAGACTTTTATGAAGTCGAAAACCCTAATGGAACATATGAAAATGTTTTCGACCCAGCTGCTATTATTGTTCATGCTTCATTTTCTGGCGCCCAAAACTCTTTTTTATGCTTGGCAAATGACTTTTACGAAAAACCTACAAAGTTATACGAACCACCAAGTGGAAGTATTTCAGACTTTCAAGTATGGTTTACTACAGATGGAAGAAAAAGAATAATTCCATTATACCATGCGTTTTACTTAGAACTTAGTTTCATATACAACTACTATCGAACGGTAAAAATATAATT